CGGACCACGGCTTCTGCCAGCCCATCTCCATCCCTCTGTGCACGGATATCGCCTACAACCAGACCATCCTGCCCAACCTGCTGGGCCACACCAACCAGGAGGACGCGGGGCTGGAGGTGCACCAGTTCTACCCGCTGGTCAAGGTGCAGTGCTCGGCCGAGCTCAAGTTCTTCCTCTGCTCCATGTACGCGCCGGTGTGCACCGTGCTGGAGCAGGCCATCCCGCCCTGCCGCTCCCTCTGCGAGCGGGCCCGCCAGGGCTGTGAGGCCCTCATGAACAAGTTCGGCTTCCAGTGGCCAGAGCGGCTCCGCTGCGAGAACTTCCCCGTCCACGGCGCGGGCGAGATCTGCGTGGGGCAGAACACATCAGACGCCCCGCCGGGACCTGGTGGTGCGGCAGGCCGGGGGGCCACTGCCCACCCCACAGCTGGCTACCTCCCTGACTTCCTCACCCCACCGCAGCCCCCCTCCGGCTTCTCCTTCTCCTGCCCCCGGCAGCTCAAAGTGCCCCCTTACTTGGGCTACCGGTTCCTGGGGGAGCGGGACTGCGGGGCCCCCTGTGAGCCAGCCCGGCCCAACGGGCTCATGTACTTTAAGGAGGCGGAGGTGCGATTTGCCCGGCTCTGGGTGGGTGTGTGGTCTGTGCTCTGCTGCGCCTCCACCCTCTTCACCGTGCTCACCTACCTGGTGGACATGCGCCGTTTCAGCTACCCAGAGCGGCCCATCATCTTCCTCTCGGGCTGCTATTTCATGGTGGCTGTGGCCTATGCAGCAGGTTTCTTGCTGGAGGAGCGGGTGGTGTGTCTGGAGCGCTTCTCTGAGGACGGCTACCGCACTGTGGCCCAAGGCACCAAGAAAGAAGGCTGCACCATTCTCTTCATGATCCTCTATTTCTTCGGCATGGCCAGCTCCATCTGGTGGGTCATCCTGTCCCTCACCTGGTTCCTGGCTGCTGGCATGAAGTGGGGCCACGAGGCCATCGAGGCCAACTCCCAGTATTTCCACCTGGCTGCCTGGGCTGTGCCCGCTGTCAAAACCATCACCATCTTGGCTATGGGGCAAGTGGATGGGGATGTACTCAGCGGGGTGTGTTATGTAGGTATCTACAGTGTGGACTCGCTGCGGGGCTTTGTGCTGGCACCCTTGTTTGTGTACCTCTTCATTGGCACTTCCTTCTTACTTGCTGGCTTCGTGTCCTTGTTTCGCATCCGCACCATCATGAAGCATGATGGCACCAAGACAGAGAAACTGGAGAAGCTGATGGTGCGCATTGGTGTCTTCAGTGTCCTCTACACGGTGCCTGCCACCATTGTCCTGGCATGTTACTTCTATGAGCAGGCCTTCCGTGGCACCTGGGAGAAGACGTGGCTCCTCCAGACCTGCAAAACCTATGCTGTGCCCTGTCCCAGCCACTTTGCCCCTATGAGTCCGGACTTCACGGTCTTCATGATCAAGTACCTCATGACCATGATTGTTGGGATCACGACTGGCTTCTGGATCTGGTCTGGCAAAACCCTTCAGTCCTGGCGACGCTTCTACCACAGACTCAGCACGGGCAGCAAAGGCGAGACAGCAGTATGAGACCCCCCCCGCCCCCTCTGGCACACACACACTCAAGGCACACGTGCACACACATGGAGGAGAGGGATACTTAGCAGAAGAGGAAGGCATTGGTTCCCTGAAGAGGGAGGAAGCGAGGCTTTTCCAAACTTTTTCTTCCTCCCAGAGGGGTTGAGGGGGGGGGAATCTTTGCGTAAAGGATCAGATGGACTGTGTCGTGGTGCTTATACCCAGCTAAGTAGAAGAGCACAGAAAAAGAAGCCACTGGTGGGATGGGAGAGCCCTTCACCCACAAGAAGTCCCCTTACTGCTCTCTCCCGCTACCCCTGTGCAGGAAAAAAAATCCAAGCAAACAACCAACCCAACTAAAAACATCCTGTCTTGCTTTGGACAAGAGGGAGGGGAAGCCATATCTGTTGAGCTGCCCATGCCGAGAAGTAGCCAAACCCTCTCTGAATTGCTGGGATCAAACTGCAGCACAGGCAGGGTAATCCCGGGCCTGAGCTTTACAGCCTGCTCCTTCCAGCTCGGCGGAATGACCACGTGAGTACTGCACAACCGGCTACAGCCCCAGTCCTGTGCTGGTGAGATGCCACTGTTCTGCCAGCTCACAAGTTCCTTTTTACCTCAGTGATACCTGTCTTAATTATTTTAAAGTGAAAATTCGGCCCTCGGCCTGTTGTTCTTGCTGCTGTGGGGAAGGAGGGGGTTGCTATTCCACACCCTGAAAAGAAATGACTTGTTGCTTTTCAGCAGAAGGCTTTTCCCCCTTGCCTTTGTTCTAGGAGACAAAGGGGGAAACAAAAGTGTTTTCTATGTAGAAAGGCATAAGCATGGGATCGGTTTTTATGAGCAAACTAACAAAAAGAAGTCGCTGAGGTTCACCCTTGGATGTGAGGAGCTCACAGAAATAAACATTCCTTTTATGAAAAGAGGAGAAGGCAGGATGTTTTCCTACGGTTCAATATGGGTCGCTTTTCTAAGCTGAAGGAAACACAAGACTTAGAGGGCAAGAAGAGAGTAACCAAGAACACCTGCCAAAACAAGAGCCATTAAAATATGTAATGTAAAGATACGGCATTTTTCTCCTTCCCATAAACCTGCTTTCTCTCCTGCTTTGCAGTGAGCTTGCTGCAGGTGAAGTCAATACACAGCCGGCTTCTGGGGACAGGAGGGATCCTTTTGGCCCACGATGGACCTTTTGCCTGTTCCTCAGGTTCCCTGAACTGCGTGGCAATGACTCGTGGTGCAGGAGGGGGCTGGGATTGGGGTTTAAAAGCAGGGAGGTATGGCGAGTAAGGAGCCTTCTCATTTTGGCTAAAATACAGCTGGTTTAACTTTCCAGCGATAACATCTTGGAAGGAAAGACATTCAAAAAATTGATCATCAAATGCATAGTTTTCTTTTTGAAATGTGACAGATTTTTCTATTCTGAAATTTTTATGTTGACTTGTTCATATTTTATTTTTTGCATACTACTTTATATTCACTGAAGGGTTGTTTTTATAAGTATATGTGTGTGTGTATATTCTTGCCTAAGGACAAAATAGGAAATTCTGGATTTTTAGCAAGTCTCCACCCTATAGCTGCTCTTCATTTTTTGGGGGGAAAAGTGTCTGGAATGAAACTTAAGAAGAAAAAACCTGTTCAGGGTGAGAGGGCAGACTGCTGCTGTCTGAGGGCATACCAGTAGTCTGGGCATGAGGAACAGGCCCATCACCCAAATCCTCCAGCAGATCTGATCTCAGACTTGCAGGGCTTGGGGTTTTGTCTTTTATAATGTGCACGTGAAAGAAATAGAAAAAAACAAATGTGTAAGACAAGTGCAGTATGTATATTTTGTAAATCTCATTTTTGTAAGAAAATATGTATTTATGTTTTTACTTGATTTTTTTTTTGAAGGTCTGTATGAGGCCCTGCTTCATCCCATGTACAGATCACTAAATAAATAATTTTTAATACAAGGGCTCCAATGAAGTTCTTTCAGTCTTTGAACACTTGGCAGGTTATAAAAGGGGGGGGCAGCTCTGTGAATGGTGTCTTTTTTCGTCCCCCCACTTTGCTGTGGAAAATGTAAGAGACTTCTGGGTGACTACACTGTGAATATACTGACCAGAAACTCAGCTGTGACTTGAAACTGGCCTTTCTGTGTACCAGCCCCTCACAATAGAAGATCACATTTCGACACCCGTTTCAAATGTTTGCCCTCACTTGAGGTACTTGCACCTGAGCCAACTTTTCTTCCAGGCTCTGCTTCTTGCTGAGGGCAAGCTGATAAACCAGTTTCCTTATCTAGAAAATAAGGATAATGCTCTCTTCCCATTCCAAAGGGACTTTGAGATTGAGAACTGGAGGGTGCTACAAGTGCTGTCAATTAAATCCTTGCTTTGATGGGTGTTTTAGGGAAACGCTAAGGACTAGGTCCTTTTCAATAGCTTTCAAAGGGCAGTGTTTCGAACTGGCTTTTTTCTCCCCCAGCACCTTTGCTATCTCCAGTTTTGTTCAGGTGAATTTTACTTTAATCTTAATAGCTAGCCCGAAGCCTACATTCTTTCTTATCACAGTCATCTGAAAGCTGATAGCTTCAATGGAACGGGCTATTTTATATCATTTTTAAAACTGAAATGAATGTTTAGATCTCAAGCTGTGTTGCTACAATCATGGAAAGTGCCCCAGCAAACAGGATTTTACACCTGTGAAATGGTGATAGTTAGGTTTTCTCTCACAATTATTTCAGCCTAATTATTGGGTTCATTACCCTTCCTTTGCCTTAAATTTCAGTATAGCCATAGTTTAAGTTGCAGAATGGAGATCTAAGATGCCTTAGCTGGATGCCATCATGGTAGCTGTGGTTGCCCCACAATATTGTTTCATTTACTGAGTACAGCGTGCAATAGTTGCACTTTCTCTTAGGGCACTTTTATTCGGACACTGTGCTCTCAAACATAACTTTTTACATTTACAATGTAAGAACTACCGATTTGAAGTTCTTTTCAGAGCTAGCCCTGTTCATGCTGCCTCTCTAGAAAAGCCACATCTTTTATTTGAAAACACCTCTAACTGTTCCCCAGAATCGCTCACTTACTCAGTTTCCTTTTTGAAAAGGCCTTTGCTTTCCTGCAAGTCAGGCTGCTTCAAACTGCTCCATGACATGAGCTCGCTGATCATTGCTGAGGGGGGTTTCATTCCACTCACTTAGGAAACCTGAACCTTTCTATAAACATTTCCTCCCATTAATCCATCAGTGCCGGCCGGAGCGATGGAACGGCTGAAACAGCTCACGCTCTGAAGGACTGGGAACCGACGGGAGCAGTGGTGTGACTGACGCCCCTGTGCTGTGCAGCCGCAGCTGCATCGCTAAACATGCAATTAATCCTTAATACATCATGGACAGCTAAGCCCACGATTCATGCAGGCGGCCTGTCCCCTGGCTCTTCTCTCCACTCACCACCCATCCTTGCTAGCTGGATGAGAAACTGCATTTAGGTGTGATCGCTCCTTTTTTGTCCATATGGGGAAAAACTTAAATACGTTTTTTTCTTTAGTTCACAAGACATTCATATCTGAAAGGAAATGCCTCTGTTTCCACCAGAAACCACTAAGGCTGAATGCTTTTATTTCAGTATTTCCTATTAGGTACTTCTGGATTTAAAGTCACTTATGCAAAACTACCCAAATCCTGGGATTTAAGTTGATTTTTAAAATTTGAGATTGTAGGTGAAATTCGATGCTGGTGTAAAGTAGAAGCAACTGCTATTCACTTTTAAGCAGATGTGACTCGCGTCAAAACTGGATTTGCTCACAGTGGAAACAATTTGGAGAATTTAAAGTAGTGATAGCGTCTGGCCTTCTGGAATAAAAATCTCTATCACCATTCTGATAACGAAGTAGCATTTACTTTCATAATGGAGTACAATTTAGAAAATCTCTTTGTGAAGCTATCTGGAAAAAAGGAAGAAGAATAAGCCTTTATTAACCTTTGCTAATCACTGCAAAATGATTTTTCTTTGATTAATGTTTAAATCCACTTTCAGTTAACAGTTTTTTAAGAGAAGTTTCCTACCCTTCACTTTCAGCTCTCATCTATGCAGTGGTTTTGGTTCATGAGACCTTGGCAAGTAATAGTTGTCGTTGATCAATATCCCTGTAAGTTTACACCATATACTACATTTCCATCAAAAATACAAACACACTGGCTCTTAAGTTTCAGAGAGGTTTGTGTTACTTTCTAGAAGAAAGTGTTATTATTTCAGGCAGGTTAAACAGGAGGCCTTAACAGTTCTAGAGTTCATGAATAGCAGCAGCAACGGAATGTTTGTCTCCACAGAAAAAAGTGCTTTTATAATACGTCAGTGTTTGTTTGGGTTTATTTTTGGTGGAATACCCACACCAGCGATTGAATGTTTTTGTCTAAGTACTTCACCCACAACCAATAGCTTTGCATGCGAGTAGAAAACCACACATATCTGTGTTCACCAACTGGCAACAGTAAACATTACTTATAATTTCACATGGGTTTAGAAATCAAATTACTAGCTTGTCTCTTAAATAGTCTTTTTTTTCTGCATCTCATTCTTGCTTCCTTCCTGACCTTACAGGTACTTCGTATACACCCTGCTCTCCATACTTGCTTTATACTCCTGTTATTTTTTAAAACCATGAATCCAGCTGAAAGAAATTTAGTCTGTTGCTTGGAGAGGAAAAGACGACTCTGAATCTTTCAGCACTATGACTGTTCATTGAGATAGACTATTGCCAAGCCTGTTCTATATAAACCAGGATAATTGTTTCATGCCAACATGAGCATGTGGTTTTGGCAGCTACAACACTGCACAGGATAATATAGGATTGGGAGAATAAATACAGTGCATGGCAAGTTCCCAAATGCCCCACTGAGAACTGACACATTTTGACTAAAATGATGCCCAAACTATAAAACTAAAATACGTACATCAGAGTTTAATGCTGCTCAGACAACCAGTTTGCACCGCAGTCGGAGGAGGACAGGGAGGGTTTTGACG